TGACATTTAGCTCTTCTTACATTGCTGGGGAAATAATATTAACTTCATTCTGGAGTTGGATCATCACCAAATCCATTATAGGTAATTCCCTTCTCCCCCCCTCCCTTTTTTTTTTTTTTTGCCTAAGTTTATTCTCCCTTTATATAGCAAGTATATACTGCTTCAGAAAGAAGCAACAGAGAGTTTTGGTTTTGTTTTCCTTTTGTAACTTTGCTGTATTCTATGATCAGCAGGTAGTTCTTACCCACATTGACTGTAGGTGTTTGCAAGTGGCAGCAGGTACATAGGAAACTGAAGTATTGAGTTTGTTGGGTGAATCTTCCTCCTCATTACGTTTTCTGGACAACCACATGTGGACACAGTGTGGGACGCTCCTCATTCCTTTGGCCCAGACGGCTCTGTGGAGTCCGATGTCCATGCACACGTCTGGAGTCCTCCCTCGCCTCCTTCACGGCAAGTCTCCCAATCTCCTTTTTTTTCTTTTTTATTATTATTATTTTTTTATTTATTTTTAGTGTTTTAGGCTGGTCAAGTGGAGCAGTGGGAGTGGAGAAGGAACGAAGGACTGTAACTGGTTGTGATCGTTAGTTGTAAACACCACTGCCCTCGGCCCGCCCCCGTCTCCTCGAGCGCAGGACACGGCGCTCCTTCAAGCCCACGCCCTGGGCGTGTCTGTGAATGTCGCCCTGTGTTCTCGGTGGCCACCTGGTCAGTGGCGGACCAGCCCTTCTTGCCACTCTTCTTTGCGGGAGCTGTTCTGCCGGCCCGAGCTGGGAAGGGAGAAACGTGAGGAATTGTGCAATAATCAGAGTTTCAAAAGTCATCATTACACACTTGATTTTTTTTCCACATTATTGCTTTAGATAACGAATCATGCATTGGCCGGGCGCGGAGGCTCACGCCTGTCATCCCAGCACTCTGGGAGGCCGAGGTAGGTGGATTGCTCGAGGTCGGGAGTTCAAAATCATGTATAACTTTTTTTCTTTCTTTCCTTTTTTTTTTTTGAGACAGTTGCCCAGGCTAGAGTGAGTGCTGTGGCATCAGCCTAGCTCACAGCAACCTCCAACTCCTGGGATCAAGCGATCCTCCTGCCTCAGCCTCCCGAGTAGCTGGGACTACAGGCATGCCCGGCTAATTTTTTCTATATATTTTTACTTGGCCAATTAATTTTCTTTCTATTTTTAGTAGAGACGGGGTCTTGCTCTTGCTCAGGCTGGTTTCAAACTCCTGACTTTGAGCGATCCTTCTTCCTCAGCCTCCCAGAGTGCTAAGATTACAAGTGTGAGCCATGTATAACTTCTTGGAGTAGAAAAATCTCTCCTTTTGGTAAATTGTTTTAACCCTGGTATTTAACATAGGAAGCTCTGGGACTGTCCTTTGAGGTATTCGTAAGGTCAGAGCCCTTTTCTGACTTTCCAGTTTTAGGAAACTAGTGCATTGATTCATGGCACTCACACTCACAAAACCGATTCCAAAAAATGAAATGTCAGCCTATTTATTATATAACGGAGGATATCTTTAAAGGCACTGAATTAACATCTTGGCCAGGTTACCTCTTTCCAACTATAAAAGTAAGGAAATTGAATTTGGATCACCTTCTGGGATATAGCTCCAAATCACTGATTTAGGAATATAATGTGGATAAGCTGCTACATGCTAAGATAAATAGAGCTCAAATTAGACTTGAGGATTAAAGACTTTCAGCTGTTCTTGGAACGTGGTAAGTTTTAGCCCTTGTCCTACTTTATACTCGGTTTTCTTAGGCACATTTTTCTCCCTAGACAGTGCTTTGAATGAGTATAGGAGGGACTTAATTTTTTAATTCATCCAACAGATATCAGGATTGTATGTACCAGGTGGTTTCGATTTTAGTTGTAAAAGGTTCAGAGTTGAAGAATATTAATAATAGAGCTCACTATGCAGCATCATTGTAAGTACCTTTTATATATGCGTGTATATTCACATATATTTAAATAATCTCACAACTGTGGTAAGTACTGTTCTCATCACTCCCCCATTTTATGGATGAGGAAACAATTCCAGAAAAGTAACTTCCCAAGGTCACTGGTGGCAGAGCTATGATTTGAACACTTAACAATCGGACTCCTGAGTCTCGGTTCTTAATTGTTATTTCTTTGGCACTCCCCAGAGTAAAGCCATTTTTACAATGAAAGTGCCTCCTTTTATCAGTCCCTGATACTCTTGTGAGATTACAGAAAAAAAAAAAACCTATCACAAATCAAACTGTTTCTTAAAGAGTTGATTTTTAAGCTTGGGGTTTTCTGATTAGATATGGGTGTTGCCCCAATTTTTTTTTTTAAAGATATATTTATTTCCTTCAAAGTTTTTTTTTTTTCCTGAGGCAGGGTCTCACTCTGTCCCCCTGAGTAGAGTGTATTAGCATGATCATAGCTCACTACAACCTCCAACTTCTGGGCTCCAGCGATCCTCCTGCCTCAGCCTCCTAAGTGTCTGGGAATACAGGCCTGCCCCACCACACCTGGCTAATTTTTCTATTTTTTGTAGAGAAGTGGTCTAGTTATTGTCCAGGCTGGTTTTGAACTCCTGGCCTCAAGTGATCCTCCCCTCTAGGCCTCTCAAAGTGCTGGGATTACAGGCATGAGCCCGGCCTGTTGTCCCAATCTTATCTGCCATATTTACCTCGAGGGGAGCTCTAGTCTAATCTAAAGGGCCAGTCACAAAAAACCCTGCTGTCTTTCCGTTCAACTTAATTTGAGAAGGAAACACTTTCTCAACCTGGCTCCTAATTTCAAGGCTGTGCCTTGACAGGCCGTTATTGCCTTTGAGGTGGTTTGGGAAGAGTGGGAGGACGCGTCTTTTTTTCCTTGCTTGAGGGCCAGCTATTTGTATGTAAATTGCCCTGGACTAAAGTGTGATTGATAGCTCTTTTTCTGCCTGGAGCCTCCAATCTGATTTCTTCCAGTATAGCTTGTGGAATAAACCTTACGTTTTCTGTGAGAATTAAATGAGCACACACGTGAAAGTGTTTTGAAAACCGCAAGACCTTTACGACTGGCAGCGGTTGTCAGTTTTCCCGTGGAAAGCATCTTTCAGCAGTTGTATGCTCTTTGGTTATTAAGAGAGATCTATTAGTGCTTTCTCTAATGTGAGAACAGAAGCTGCCATCAATGTGGTCTGCAGCTGGTGAGGTCAAGTTCAATTAACATTTGCAATAAAGAGGCTTAGGAAGGAAATATACAACATGCGACTTAACAGTCACATTCAGTTTGCAAGTTCCAGGAAGGCCGAAGAATCTGAAAGTTCAGGATCGAGGACTGGATTTCCAGCAGGGTCCCAAGGCACCCTTTACAGAGACAGAGAAAGCAGAATCTGCGAGTCAAAGGCCCTGGCCCAAGCTCTCTTTGTATTCGTTTTGCTGTTTGGCCCAACCTATGTCTTGCAATTTTGAAGAGGAACAAAGGCCAAGCCTGGTGGCTCATGCCTGTCATCCTAGCACTCTGGGAGGCTGAGGTGGGAGGATTGCTCGAGGTCAGGAGTTTGAAACCAGCCTGAGCAAGAGCGAGACCCCGTCTCTACTATAAATAGAAAGAAATTAATGGCACTGAAAATATATAGGAAAAATGAGCCAGGCATGGTGGCGCATGCCTGTCGTCCCAGCTACTCGGGAGGCTGAGGCAGGAGGATCGCTGGAGCCCAGGAGTTGGAGGTTGCTGTGAGCGAGGCTGATGCCACGGCACTCACTCTAGCCCGGGCAACAGAGTGAGACTCTGTCTGAAACAAAACAAACAAAACAAAAAAACAAAAAAACTTAGGAAGGACAAAACTTACTGGCATTTCCCAATGCAGCAAAAAAAAAGAAAAGAAAAGAAAACCCAAACTGTTGAATCTTCATGACAGCCACAGCCCTTCAGAGCTGCCATCTCCCAACTTCTTTATTATAGGAATGAGATACAGAAGGGTAAAGTGGATTTGACGAAGGAATCTGTCCCATACCTCAAAGGTGAGGTCACTGCTGGGGTGCACTGGAGGGACAGTGGGAGACGCAGGAGAGACAACTATTTTTATTTTTATTTTTTTATAAAAAAAGATTTTCACTTTTATAAAATTTAAGATTTACTATTCTTTTTTTGACCACCCAGAAGTATCTTATCAACCAAGACAACTTAAAATAGACCTGGTAAAAATAATTTGGGCAGCCTCTTGAGGCCCATACCAACCCTCCCACCCTTTTTAATTTTTTTTTTAAGAAAAGATCCTATTTCTGAGACAAAGGCAATATAACATAACTTAGTATTTCCTGACATGCAGGGTCCTAATAGTCGCCCGTTCTTCTTCGCTAGGTCTAGGAAGGGGTCTGGGGACATGTGTTTCGCAAGCACAAGTTGGGGTGTTTTAATAAGAAAATAGCAAAATTCAGAATACCAGTTTGTGCAGTCTTGAGTAAAGGGATCGCACCCGACCCGCCACCGCTGCAATAACACGTCAGGTAAGAAAGAACCTGAACGTTTGTCCGACACAGAGAGGATGTTCCTCTCTGGCTGCATCGTGTTCTGGTATCGATCGTAGATACAGAACGGCGGGAGCGTGTAGAGAAGAGCGACCGCTCCGCCGCGCGACAGCACGCAGCGAGCCGCCGCCCGACTCGCACGCCTGCGCGGCGACGCGCGCGCGTGGGGGCCAGCCGTGCCGCGGCCGCTTGCCGTGCCGCTGGCAGTGGCTGCAGAGTTCCGCGCGCGAGAGGAGGAGCGCCGCTCGCGCCAACGCAGCACGCCGCTGCGGCCGCGCCAGCGGCAGGGCGGCGCTGGCCTCGCGCGCGCGGACGCGGGCGCGGCCAGGCCGGAAGTCCCCCGCGCCGCGCGCGGAGCGCCGGAAGCGCCGGCGACCCGCAGAGCCCGCCGCCGGCGCAATGCGCGGGGGTGTGTACAATGGGCATTCCTGGTGCGTCAGCGGAGTTCCTTAAAGGCGCGGCGGGCCGGGCTGCGGGCCGGGCGCGGGAGCGGCGGCGGCGGGGGCCGCGCTCGGATAATGCCCGCGGCGCCCGCGCGACCATGCAATGGCGAGCGCTCGTCCTGGGGCTGGTGCTCCTGCGGCTGGGCCTCCACGGCGTGCTGTGGTGCGTCTTCGGGCTGGGGCCAAGCGTGGGCTTCTACCAGCGCTTTCCTCTCAGCTTCGGCTTCCCGCGCCTGAGGGGCCCCGACGGCGCCGCGCCGCCCGCCGCCCCGGCGCTCTCCGCCCGGCCCGGCCGCCGCCGTCCGGCCCGTCGTGGCTGCAGCCGCCGCGCGCGGCGGGGCGGCGGGCGGGCGGCGCCGGGCTCCGCGGCGGCCCGGGCCGGGCGTGTGCGGCCCGGCGCACTGGGGCTACGTGCTGGGCGGCCGCGGGCGCGGGCGCGACGAGTACGAGCGGCGCTACAGCCGGGCCTTCCCGCCGCAGCTGCGCGCCCAGATGCGCGACCTGGCGCGGGGCATGTTCGCCTTCGGCTACGACAACTACATGGCGCACGCCTTCCCGCAGGACGAGCTCAACCCCATCCACTGCCGCGGCCGGGGGCCCGACCGCGGGGACCCGTGAGTAGCCCGCGCCGCCCTCCGCCCGCCCGCCCGCGCGTCCCCGGGCGCCCCGAGGCCGGCGGGGCCGTTGGCGGCCTGGGGGGCAGCGCCCTGCCTCGGCTGCCGCCGACCCCTTTGGCGTCCCCCGTGTCTCGAGTCAGGGGACCCCTGAACTTCGGGACAGCTGTCCAGATGGGGAAACCGAGGCCCAGGGGCCTGACGCGGGGACTGTGGCAGTGCCGAGAGCTGGCTTGGGGAGTGGGGTCAGGGTTAGTGGGGTCAGGGTTAGTGGGGTCAGGGTTAGTGGGGTCACGGGGGCGGTCTTCACACTCCCGGCTCGAGCCTTTCCTCCGGATCAACGCAACATCTCAACGAAGTCTCTGCTCCCCGTGTAAACGCGGCTCCCTGCCCCAAGGGCCACCCCCGGGTCTTCCTCTGAGTCAGAAATTCAGGAGTTGGTCCTGAGACAGGACCTCTCTGTCCAAAGCCGTCCGGTGAGTCGGAGGCAGAGCGGGGTCACAACCGTAGGCTGAGGCCTGGTTTGGGGGGCAGGGAGGGAAGCCAGCTCTCCGGCTAGATCTGGGGTGAGGTTCCTTGGGGTGCTGAGTTGGCTGTCAGCGTCGTGGACTTGTCCTGGCTGTCCCCTAAGCGCCCCCACTCTCGGCGGCAGGGCTGTCAGGGAAGGCCAGCCCGCCCTCGCAGTCCACACCAGCCTTGTTTGCAAAGGCCGAGGGCTCCGGCCTGTTGACATCAAAGTCCAGGAGCCCAGCTGAGGACCTCCTACCTGGAGGGAAGGAATGCGCATTGCCACCAACCCTGTCAGTCCAGATAGGTGGCCGCGTCCTCCCTTTCCTCCGTTTAGGTGGGAGTGTTGCTCTAGGTCTTGTGACCCACCACACGTGAGTGCCTTTGGACATTTGGGGCAGAGTCTCTCTCTAATCCTTTGCTTGAGAAGTTTTTTAAAAAAAATTTGTGGTGATCCACAAATTCATGCCTTAAATTTTGCAGCGTGAGAGCATGATTTTTAGAGAAGGGTACATCCCAGCCCCTTGCTTCACTAAGGCCCTTCAAAGGCCTGGGCCTTTACAAAATTGTGGGAAACTCGGGAGTTTTTCTTGCTTAACCATATCAGCATTTATTATATAAAGAGTGTTTTTTCTGTCTCAGTTGTTTTGAGGAAAAAAATTACTAAATTTTGAAAAAAAAATTGGACCTTTCCAGATTGTAGGAAATGAATTGTTCGTCTCACTTAACTAGAGAGGGGACTTTATACCTAAAAATGTATTTTCTTTCCATCTTAATTTTTTTTTTGGAGGGAGAATAAACGTCATAAAGTTTTGGGGAAAAAGAAAGCATACAATCCCACCAGACAGTTATTTTTAATTTATCTTTCCTTCCAGCTTCTGCCCACATGCCTACATTTTTTCACATAGTTGCCATCAAAGTGTGTGTACATATTTTGGATATTGATTGTGCTTTCTCAGTAATGCTCTTAGTATTAAAGAGGAGAGAGAGCACTCTCAGTAAGCGCCTTGAAGAAAACAGTTTAAGGGGAGACTGTGATAACACTTTCAGCTGGGAGTATTGTGGGCCTGAGAGTGACTTGATGACATTTCGATGTTTTCTGTAATGAACGTTAAGAACGTTGATTTAACCTGCTGGCCCGGGTGGTTTCATCAGCCTTCATTTCAGGATGAGGGCTCCTGCTGAGTGTTTCAGTTCGGTTGTACACTGCCAGTCTGAGTAAGTTAAGATCAGGTTGCTTCGAGTCAGATATATTGTTGGAAAGATGGTGTCAGAAATAGCGTGTGAGCTTAGTAAGCCTTTGTTGTCTTTGAGGAGGTGAAAGAGCTCTGGGTTTTTGGTGGCCTTGAGTACACCCTCATGTACTTGAGTACACACCCTTGAGTACACACCCTGGCCACTTACAAAAGGTGGGAAAGTTAATTTTTTGTGCTCCTTTTCCTTTAACTCCTCATGCTTTGGTATTTTCAAAGAAACTTCAGAACCAAAGCTTTGTTATTCTGGCTTGCAAATAGGAGGGCACATGGATGTTCCCCAAAATAAACAACCTGTAATAAAAATCTTCCAGATTAAGCAAAAATCAGATGTGTTCCAATGATTCTCTTAAAAAATAGAGTGACATCACCATCAGAATATTATGTACAAAATATGGGTGTTAAACACGTGTGTCTTTTCTTTGCAGTCACATGAACTTGAGGCTTATTATCTTGCCTGTCTTGTTTGCCTGGGGGTTGGGTGGGGAGTTATCTTGAAGTAAATAAAACCTAAACACTTAAAAACAGCGAATCTTTCTGTCCAGCTGCAGAGTTCTCTGCAGTCAGTACCTCTCACACCCCTAAGTTGTGTTGGGGGATCCACATTCAAAGTGTCATCGTGTAAATTTGGAGATGACATTTTTGCAATCCTCTGAATGGTTAACTATAGTTCCGGCCTTGGGCATGGTGAGCCGTTCTCCCTTTCTCCACAACCATATTGCTGTTAAAACAAAAAAGCAAATCTCAAAGTAATGAACCCAACAAATATTGATTGGCCTTTAAAGGGACTCATTCCTAGACACACGTGGTGTAGGATGGGCTCCTGCCTCCCTCTTTCTTTCTGAAATCCTGCCCTCCACAGTAAGGGGTCACGTCTTTTTTCTGTGACCATCTAAGTGGAGGTGATTCTCTTTGGTTTACTCATTTCTCCTTTTGGTTCCTTTTCTTTGAGCTGCTTTCACACATTTTAATGTTACTTGAAAATTGAGTATTGTTGTGTGTTCACCTTCATTTCCCTTCATCTAGTCTCTCCAGACTGTCAATCCGTTGAACGCAGGGACTGTTTCTTAGCTTATCTCTGCTCCACAGCACCAGGTAGATTTCTGAGCAGCTGTTACAGGTTAGGTATATGTGAGAACTCTTTAAAAACACATAGAATTGGTTTTTGTTATCTATCTCATCAAAAATTTTCTATCAAAGGCCTTAGTTTTCTTTGTCTTTTCTGCTTTGAGGTGATAAGAACTTGAAAAATTCACAGTGGAGTGAGTGCCATGAACATTCACACATGGTGAATTAGGCGGAGAGTTTAATTGTGGTTCAGCCAGCTGGTCATGTGGAAACGTGTACTTTTGAGCCTCATTTTATACTGAAAGGTTGAGTTCTTGGCTTGAGGCACTTAAAGGTATCAGGTCAGCCTTTACATTGATAAGAATATGTACAAAGAACCCCGTAGTCTTACCTGCATAGCAGGCTGACATGAAAAGGAGTCGTCATATTTTCACACTGTTATTGAGGGTTTTATGAAGTCTATTTTCCCCCTTCATTCCTTTCCCCATTTTTTTTTTTTAATTTTGGCACAATTTGAAAGAGTATATCAGTTATTTAGTTGAAATGAATTTAAAAGTGTTCTAACGAACACTCCAGATTTTCAAGTGGCTCTGACCAGAGGGGAAGGAGGAATTGCATAGTTACTGCAAATACTCATTTTTTTTTCCTATTTCTTTTGTGCTGTGGCAAGTCATCAGTGACTGGGCATTCATTGTATCGGGAAGTATTTTAAAACTGGGTCCATTTTAGTTATAGATTGGGAGGAGAAGCACATTGAAACATAGGAAGGAGTACAGTGCTCACAATTTACAGTGGGCCTGTGCAGGTGGAGAGAATGACACATGGCGCACGCAGATGAGGGTGGCATTCAGGAGAGGGTAGTTACACGTGGTTCTCTCGATCGCTGCCTAGCTTGGATGCTTAATGATGGGGGCACTATGTTCTGATGAAGTGGGTTGTTGGAGCCCATTCTTTGTTTCCAGGCAGCAGAGCAACATAGTTAAATATTTATACCCAGCAGAATGTTCTTGAGTTGGCATAATTGAGCATGGGTATCTGTCTCCTTTTAGCTCCTCCTCCAACCTTTGGCATTTCTTGTACCCTTTTTGGCTGGCTCTGCCCTTGAGAGGCGTATTTGAATGCATGGCTCTCACCCCAAGAGCTATGGATTTTTAAATATAAATTTATTTAAAAAGAATCAACATATAGAAGAAGCAGGTGCAGTTGTCAGCCATGCAGTTTGTTGACTTCCTGGCTTGTGCGAGATGAGCTGGCCCTACTTCCTAGATAGCCCCTCGATATAGCTTGTTTTTAAAAATGCATCTAAAATTATGCTATAATATTTTTGCCCTAGTTTAGGTGGAATAATAGCATAAAACAAGGCAACTGAAGGTTCGGCTGAGATCAGACATTGAGGGTGTGTATGCCGTGTCACCTAAGGGACAGTTCTCTGCAGCTGAGGCAGGGAGGAGGCCTTCCAGAGCGCACAGCAGGCCAGCCCCGACACGGGAGGCCTCGCTGCTCACCTGAGGCTTCTCCCCAGGGAAGTGAGACAGACCCCCATTAGGGCGCTTGGTCTAAGGAGCAGGTAAAGTGCTCTGGGGACATGAGGGAAGACGACAGACATCAGTGTATCTGTAGCTGGAAATGAAATTGGGGCATTGTCTGTTCGGTCTCTAATAATATCTTTAGCCAGTTGTCTTATTTCTTGTCTTACTATCATTTCCCCCCAAGAACCTGCAGTTATTTTCTTGGTTTATGGGAATGGGACCAAGGAGTAAATGAAGTCCCCAGAATTTCTCAAGCTGTGCTTTATTACTTGCACTACTACTCCATCCCTGTCCTCCCAGATATATTGGTTTTTGTTGTTGTTACCAGTTTTTAGTGTTATAAAGTAATATCAGAGTGCCTGAGGAGTGTTACCCTCATTGTCATCTAGAAATTGGTCTCTTGAGATTGTTCCAGAATGGAAACTTGCTGTTGATAGTGGGGTGAGAGGTGTGTGGCAGAAACATTTATGCAGCTCCAGTCAAGAAGGGAGAGGAGTTCCTGCCTTGGTTCATGTTGAAAGACATCGGCTCAGCACCAATGGAAATAATGGGGATTCTTTGGACGAGATGTTAATGAAAAAATAGTGCATGGAAGTTAATTTATTCCCTGAACCAAAGGACAGATGAGTAATAATGAGACCGTAACTTAAGGTGTTTACTTCTTTTTGTGTGTAATGCGCTGTAGTGTCTCATTTCTGTATGAAAGTACTAAAGGTAGGTCATATGACAAGGTCTTTACTTCCTAATGATTGCAAAATCAGGTTTTTGAAATTGGACAGGATCAAAGAGATTGTTTATGGTGATAAAACTGTTAGAAAGGGCAGATGACTCTGGTTCACAGTCTGCTGACTTCCCCTGATGTTCTTTCCACTTATAGTACAAATGTCTCTGCAGTTCCATGACTCGATTCTACTTATAGACAGTATAGAAACTGTTGCTTTTGAGATAGAAAGACCTTTTGCTGGCCAGGTGCAGTGGCTCATGCCTGTAATCCTAGCACTCTGGGAGGCCGAGGTGGGAGGATCAGGAGTTTGAGATGAGCCTGAGCAAGAGTGAGACCCTGTCTCTACTAAAAATAGAAAACTTAGTTGGGCGTCGTGGCGTGGACCTATAGTCTCAGCTAGTCAGGAGGCTGAGGCAGGAGGATCGCTTGAGCCCAGGAGTTTGAGGTTCTGGTGAGCTATGACAATGCCACTGGGCAAGAGAGTGAGACTCTTGTCTCAAAAAAAAAAAAAACTACCAAAGAAAAAAAGACCTTTGCCATACTTATTCTCCCATAATTAGTTCCTAAATAAGTTAAGCATTCTGGCAATTTTAGTTTCTGATAGGTATTTAGCTTTATTGTCTTTTTCCTCTGTTAAAGTACCTTTGTTTGATTTTAATTTTATTTCTTTTTCAGTTCAAATCTGAACATCAACGATGTGCTAGGGAACTATTCACTGACCCTTGTCGATGCGTTGGATACACTTGCAGTAAGTGCTCAGCCTTCCTTTTTTATTAATTAGTTAAGGTGTTTCGGAGTTGATTACCCCTAGTTTACCCCAGCAGTGGGAATTCCAGGGAACAAAATGTACTGATAGCTTTGTTAGCTATTATTTATTTTAATGACCTTAATAGGGAGTACAAGAAAAGCACTGAAGGTTAAATGAGGGGAAATGTGATTCTTCTTAAAGAAAATGGAGAAGAAATGTATGTTTGTTTTTAGAGAACTTGCTTTTCTCTCAGTTTTCCACTATCATATTCTCTAAAGGAATCCATAGAGACTCTCATTAATATTGACAGTCACTAAAAATCATATTCCAGGAGTAAGACAGAGATCTCGGGGTTGACTGGTACCCTAAATATTAGCTAGCCACTGGCTCCTCAGGGGCACGTCTGAGCTGTGGTGCAAGCTCCTACGTGGGGCTGTCTATAAACACGCCTCTGTTATTTGCCACTTCCTGTTTTGTGGATGCTCCACTCCATGCTTGAGCTGCCAGCATGGATGCTGACTTTACCTCCTCCTCCTGTGGTTTTGCTCTTTGACTCTGGGAGCTGGAGACCTTTGAGTAGATATGCAGCAGCACTCTGATGGCAGTGAAGCCCTGGGGACATGGGACTTACTGCCAGGCTGTGTCTACACTGCATCTGCTCCATGACCTTCTGCCACAGAACACAGTTTCCAAGGGTCTGTGTCTCAGCATAGCATTGGATTTAAATCTCCTTAGTAAACGTGATTTTACAACTCTTTGCTCTCCTTCATTGTCCAGCAAGCCTTTACCATGGGAAAATTTCTATGGTACTCTAGCCCAAATCCTGTATTTAATCATTTCTTCTTATTTCTTTTAACATTCCATAGAAAAGTTTAGAGCTGTCTGTTAGGAGTTAGCATTGGGTAATGCTAGCTAAGTTTGTGTTACAACTGTCCAGTGTCTTGCTAGTAGTAGAATTACCAGAACTTGGAAAGAGCTTGTGAGATCCTTCTGCATCCTCGTTTTATAAATAAGTAGCAGAGGCTGGGCATGGTGGCTCATGCCTGTCATCCTAGCACTCTGGGAGGCCGAGGTGGGAGGATCGCTCAAGGTCAGGAGTTTGAAACCAGCCTGAGCAAGAGCGAGACCCATCTCTACTATAAAAAAGAAATTAATTGGCCAACTAAAAAAGAAAAAATGAGCCAGGCATGGTGGTGCATGCCTGCAGTCCCAGCTATTTGGGAGGCTGAGGCAGGAGGATCGCTTGAGCCCAGGAGTTGGAGGTTGCTGTGAGCTAGGCTGATGCCACGGGACTCTAGCCGGGGCAACAGAGCGAGACTCTGTCTCAAAAAAAAAAAAAAATAAATAAGTAGCAGAAATAGGACTAGGCCCTTGGCCTAATAAGAAATTGGGAGTGTTGGGTTTCATTCTGACAGATTTCAGCTGTGGAGCAATTCAGTTTCCTAGTAGCTCCTGCTGAAGTTATTCCTGCTTCCATGTAGTCATCACCATCACCGATCAGAATGTGCCCAGACACGTACGAGTACGTGCGGCCTTCATTAGAGCTAACTTGTTGAAGATACCGCAGGCTGACTCAGCCTACGAGTGTTGCTTAAAAGGAAAAGTCCTAAGATTCATGCATAGCTTATGAAAGCTCACTCCTTCTCCATGAGTGCTTTGTGGTTTTTTGCCCATTGTTGAATATGGAGCCCTTATCTCTGTTATTTACCTTACTCCTCCCCAACTTAATGGTGTCTGGTACACAGTAGGAGTACAAATATTTGTTCAAAAAGTGAATTCCCACTAATCCAGCATTTCCCAACACAGATTTCAAGGGTATACTCCCTGAAAGAAGAGGTTTTTTTTTTTTCTTTTTTGAGACAGAGTCTCACTCTGTTGCCCACGCTAGAGTGTAGTAGTATCAGCCTAGCTCACAGCAACCTCAAACTCCTGGGCTCAAGCAATCCTCCTGCCTCAGCCTCCCGAGTAGCTGGGACTATAGGCATGGGCCACCATGCCCGGCTAATTTTTTCTATATATTTTTAGTTGTCTAGCTAATTTCTTTCTGTTTTTAGTAGATATGGGGTCTTGCTCTTGCTCAGGCTGATTTTGAACTCCTGACCTTGAGCCATCCTCCCGCCTCGGCCTCCCAGGGTGCTAGGATTACAGACGTGAGCCACCTCTCCTGGCCAATACCTGAAAGAAGAGTTCTGTTCCCATATGAACTTGAGAAATCCTTCATGTCTGTCTCGGTATTGGAGAGCCACAATGCACATCACCATTTTCAAGGCTCTGGGAAGTTATACAGTTAAAAAAAAAAAAAAAAAAAAAAAGCCAAGAAACCAAATAAACCCCACTTATTTAACTCTTCTGTCCAATCTAGCTTTTCTCAAACTAGTGAGTGACTTTATAGCCTGGTTACTCTGGGCTCTGTCTGTAGCTCTCTGACCACAATGGTAAATTCAAGATGTACTTAAGAGTTGTTGGCCTCTTTCACTATCCTCCACTCGATCTGAGATCGTGTCAGCACCTGCATCTGCACGAGATATTGTTGCTGGTGAACATCTGTCAGGAAGCAGACCCGTCTCTATGGTTTTCATTGTTGAATGTCTGGCTTTTAACGTGTTAGTGCTTCAGGTGTTACTTATGTTGAGGTTTTCCTTTTCTTTTACTAACATTTTAAACAGGCTTTAACAGATGTGCTACAGAAACAGTCTGAAGATAGCAATCTCCTGGCCATTGGATGCAACTTGTAGTATTTTTTTTTTTTTTTTTTCTGTTGCCCAGGCTAGAGTGAGTGCCGTGGCGTCAGCCTAGCTCACAGCAACCTCAGACTCCTGGGCTCAAGCGATCCTCCTGCCTCAGCCTTCTGAGTAGCTGGGACTACAGGCATGTGCCACCATGCCCGGCTAATTTTTTCTATATATATATATCAGTTGGCCAATTAATTTCTTTCTATTTATAGTAGAGACGGGGTCTCGCTCTTGCTCAGGCTGGTTTCGAACTCCTGACCTCGAGCAATCCTCCCGCCTCAGCCTCCCAGAGAGCTAGGATTACAGGCGTGAGCCACCACGTGCGGCCCAATTTGTAGCATTATTGCATAATCTTTTAAAAAGAAAGAACTGAAAGCCAGAAAAAAAGTCTGTACTTGCTCTGCATGTTACAGCAGAATGTTAATGAGTGGGGAGAAAAGATATAGCAGACCAATAAATATTGGGAAATAAGACATACTTCAAAGAAATTATTTGGGTTTAAAAAAATTATTTTGGCCAGGAGTGGTGGCTCACACCTGTAATCCTAGCACTCTGGGAGGTTGAGGTGGGAGGATTGCTCAAGGTCAGGAGTTTGAAACCAGCCTGAGCTAGAGCGAGACCCTGTGTCTATTATAAATAGAAAGAAATTAATTGACCAACTAAAAAATATATATAGAAAAAATGAGCCTGGCATGGTGGCGCATGCCTGTAGTCCCGGCTATTCAGGAGGCTGAGGCAGAAGGATTGCTTGAGCCCAGGAGTTTGAGGTTGCTGTGAGCATTCTAGCCGGGGCAACAGAGTGAGACTCTATCTCAAAAAAATAAAATAAAATACAAATTAAAAAATTATTTTTTTCATGTGCTTCCTTATGATGTCATTGTGATCCCAGGATTATCACAGCATTTTAAAAAGAATGAACTCATTTCAGTTCAGGTTTATATATAAAATTTTGTGCTCAATTTGCACTTCATATAGGAGACAGCTGAGTATAACATCATATTCACCCACTTAAAATACGAATTGTAATTCTAATCGCTTTTTAAAAAGAACAAAGAGCTAATTATTCGTATGTTTTATTTGTTTTAAATGTGACTGGTTTTACATTATGCTCCAAAAGATATTAGCATCGTTTCTCAAAGTGTTTAGACATTTGGATAACAAGCAACAAGTACGTTCAGTTTTCCAGATATTTTGGTCTTCTGGGAGCCAAGCACTCAAGCTGTTGATTTATTTGAGGAGCGGAGGAAAAGTTTTGTTTCTTCAACTTGCTGATTTACTTTTACCCATTCCAGAAGTTTAGGAACTGCAGTGCCTTGCCCGTTAAATGAGATTAGACTGAAGTTTTTAGGAGGTGCAGTAGGAAGGTGAGAAGTACCAGTGATTTTTATAAAGAATTATTTTCACGGTTTTGCCATTTGAGGTAGGACTCTCAAGTTGGAGGAAATGGGCTTGCCATCTGTCTTGGAATATATTCTGAGAAAAACCGTGCTTTTCCTACTTTTTGTGCGTCTACTCCCAGGGTGGCAAAACCACATACAGACGTTGCGGTGAGCCGGCCTGGCTGCCGTGATTACGGAGCCTTGGTTTCATTTCAAGCTGCCGTAATGACTTGTGTTCCTCTTTTTAAAGATAATGGGCAATTCATCCGAGTTCCAGAAAGCAGTCAAGTTAGTGATCGACACAGTTTCATTTGACAAAGATTCCACCGTGCAAGTCTTCGAGGCCACGATAAGGTAAAATCACAGATAAAATGGATTAAAGGCTTCTTTTTCTGTGTGTGAGGAGAATAATTCCCGTAAGGTAGGGAGTCCATACAGGCTTTATGGGGGCAGTTTGCAGTGTTCATGTTCATTTTATATTTATCAAAACTGGAATAATTGATGTTTCAAAGTGATCACATTTTGGACTGAAGAGAAAGACATTTATGTTTCAGTGGGTGTAAGATTGGTATCCACCTAATACAGAGTTTCATGGTTTCCCTTTGTCTCTGGTCTCATTTCTTTCTTTCACTGTGTCCTAGGAAAACCACATATTTGTCAGGGAAATGAAAGTTTCCCATCTCAACTCCCACCCACAGAAGACCACTGTTTACCATTTTGTTGTGTTTCTTTCTTCACTAATCTCATTCTCAGTGTTTAATGTATTGCGATCATGCTCCCATATATTCCCAGTTTTGTATGTTGCTTTCTTTAGTTTGATATATTGTGACTATTTTCATGGGTTTAATTTAAATATTTGGAAAATTGCATTACTGCATGACATTCCAGTTTATAGATGTAATATTTATTTAAAGTTATGAGAACATTCGTTCTGAAAAATGTCACAATCCACTTCATTCATTGGAATGGAACATTCATAGGTCTATACGGCCGTTGATCTAAGCTGGCAGCCTCCAGCCTCTGAGTGGGTCATTTTCTCGCTTCCTCCTCCTCCTCCTCCTGCTCACCTTGCCTCTTTACCAGATGCTGGGGAAGTGCATCAGTTGCTTGGCAGCCAAAACTACAAAAGTTACTTAGTATGTATTGTCTTTCCTTTCTCCTTTTCTTCTGTGACTAAGTTTTTCCCCCCGAAGTGAAATAAATCAAGAGTAATTTAATAATACTAATAGAGAATATTTATTCCGAGAACCATTAGAACACTGCCAATTAGTATAACCCCTTTTCTTACTGCCTTAAGATTCAGATCACCAAAGATATTTTAAATAGTGTTGTTCCTTGTAGCCTCTGTCTTGCTTTCTCCTGTTCAGTAATGTGGTTAACTAAGAATCAATCATTTCTTATTAGAGCTGGAAGGGATTTCAAGAGGCCATTAAATCAAGTCTTTCTGACTCCAGGCAGCTCTGATTCCACAGGAAATAGAGGCCACTTCTCTCCTTCTAAATTGGATTGTGCGCACTTACAAGCAATGTGATTTGATTATTTTTTTGTTCTCCCTGTTATTAGGGTCCTGGGAAGCCTCCTTTCTGCCCACAGAATCATAACTGACTCCAAGCAGCCCTTTGGTGACATGACTATTAAGGACTATGATAATGAATTGTTGCACATGGCCCATGACCTGGCCGTGCGGCTTCTCCCTGCTTTTGAAAACACCAAGACAGGGATCCCCTATCCTCGGGTAGGTAGACTGGTTCAACCTTTTGTGTTTGACATCACAGCATCTTCCTGAATTTTCTCTTCATTAATTTATTTGGGGGAAGGAATGGGGCTAAGATAAAAGAGGAAAGCAGTATTCTTGGGAGAATTTGGACCTAAATATGATATACATGTTTTTTTAATTCATTTAGCATTTATCAAGCACCTCCTTTATGCTGGGCATACAGTGACATATCTGAATTAATCCTCGACTTAAGGAATTCATGTTCCTGTGTTCAGTACTCTTAAGTCCTTTTACATGTGTGATTTATATTCTCTGCTGCAAAACAGTGTGGGGAATTTGTCTTCATTTCTCACTTGGGCATATTTCCCCAGAGATCCTCACGTGGGTATTGTAGGAGCTCAGTGCGCGTTCTTTTGAATGCTTCCCATGGAGCTTCCAAATCAAAGTCTGCACAGACTAGCAAGTGAGATGCTGATTTAAATGCCAAGATCTGGAATGAGATTATGTCTTTGTGGCTGGCATCTGATTTGCCAAGCCTAGGCCTCCTCTGGGAATTGAGTCAGCCTTTTAGGCAACCAGCAGAGAATTGCCAGACCACAGAGCCTCCCTGTGCCTCCTCTCTGTCCCAGTCTGAGGTTGCTTTTTGTTTGCTAAGCAGGAGCGCGTTCATAGTAGCTCACTTAAAATTTAGAAGTGATTCTGTAGTTTGCATTTGTTTATAACACCTAAGCTTGTGTAACCATGAAGAAAACCTGCTGGAAGTAGGTAGTTTAGTGAACAGTGTTAAAATTATTCCCCGAAGACTTGCTTTTATTAGTAAGACCAGGGTCTGGTGGTGTTATTTTGTTTGTGTCTTTTAAACATAATTCTCATGTTCATCTCAAATGTGCCTTGGGGCTGAATGTCACCATGATCAGCCGGGTTCCTCAACCACGTGTAGTGTCTGTGAGCTCGCCTTGCAGCCCCGTGGGTTCCTTGGGTTTTGCCATGAAGCCGTTGTCTCTTCCTGTCCCCAGGTGAATCTAAAGACGGGAGTCCCTCCTGACAGCAACAATGAGACGTGCACGGCGGGAGCTGGTTCCCTCCTGGTGGAGTTTGGGATTCTGAGCCGGCTGCTGGGGGATTCCACGTTTGAGTGGGTGGCCAGACGAGCAGTGAAAGCCCTTTGGAATCTCCGGAGCAACGATACAGGACTATTAGGTGTGGTGGCACCTTTGCTTGCTGTTGGTACTGTGTCCCCTCTGGTCCCCTTTCCTTTCATCTTCTCTGGGGCTCTCCCTCTTTTCCACTCCCTTCTTAAAATTGATAACTCAGAGAGAATGGCCCTCAGTGTCTGCCGTGTGCCAATTTTTTTTTTTAGACAGAGTCTCTCTCTGTTGCCCTGGGTAGAGTGGCAGTGGCGTCATTGTAGCTCACTACAACCTCAGACTTCCAGGCTCAAGCGATCCATTTGCCTCAGCCTTCCCAGTAACTGGGATTGCAGGTGTGCGCCACAACACCTGGCTGATTTTTCTGTTCTTAGTGGAGATGGCATCTTGCTCTTGCTTAGGCTGGTCTTGAACTCCTGAGCTCAAGCGATCCTCCTGCCCTGGCCCCCCAGAGTGCTAGGATTACAGGCGTTAGCCACTGCACCCCCTCCCCCCATCCAATTTCTTTTTTTTTTCTTTTCTTTTTTCTTCTTTTTTTTGTTGAGACATATCTCTCTGTCTCTGGGCTAGAGTGCCATGCCATCGGCCTAGCTCACAGCAACCTCAATCTCCTGGGCTCAAGTGGTCCTCCTGCCTCAGCCTCCCGAGTAGCTGGAACTACAGGTACATAGTACCACCTCTGGCTAATTTTTCTACTTTTTGTAGAGATGGGGGTCTCACTCTTGCTCAGGCTGGTTTCTAACTCCTGAGCTCAAGTAATCCTCCGGTCCTGGTCTCCCAAAGGGCTAGAATTATAGGCGTGAGCCACCGTGCCCAGCCCATGTCCAATTTATTTATGTGACCTTTTATTAGAGTGAAGCTGTACAGTTTGATGGAAAAGAATAAAGCTTTTGCAGTTTGAAGGCTCCCTTGAGGTTTGGATCCCTTGGCATATTTCACTTGAAAATTATTGTTAATGGAAATGCTATAAAAAGAACTGCTTCTGAGGCAGATTTTATTGTTTTAATATAAAGTTCTAAATATAGGAATTTAGAGTTACTGGTGGAGCAGATTTCTCCTTTTGAAAAATCTAGGCATGCGAGCTAGGTGTGGTGGCTCACTGCCATAATCCCGGTATTTGGGGAGGCTGAGGTCAGAGGATGACTTGAGGTTAGGAGTTCAAGACCAGCCTGGGCAACATAGCAAGAACCCATTTCTACAGAAAAAAAAAAAAAAAGCTTTAAAAAAATCGAGGCATGTGGTAGTAGTTTGAAAGACCATATTATATCTGTGTTAGGTGTGGGATTTTTTTTTTCTTTTTGCTTGAGAATGTTTTGTCAAGATACTATTAACAAATTATTGTTATTTTTTTACAGTCTCACTCTGTTGCCCAGGCTGGAGTGCAGTAGCCCTGTCATAGCTCACTACAGCCTTGAACTCCTGGGCTCAAGCAGTCCTCCTGCCTTGGCCTCTCAAAGTGCTGGGGTTAGAGGTGTGAGCTACCATGCCCAGCTAAAAAATTATGGAAAATTTCAAATATGTAATAGTAAAGAGAAAGCATAATGAATAATAACTCCTATGTACTCATTCTTCTTCGGTAATTATCAGTATTTTGCTAACTCAAGATGTTACTTTAAAATGGGTTTTTACTTCATATAACTGCTAAAGTTGTAAATTCATGTGCAAATTTATTGTATTTAACAATAGCAATAGATATAAGTCACTCAAACTGTAAATCTGTCCCCAAATGGTTGACCAGTGTCACTCCAGATTGTCGACTTCTTAGCTTTCCATACGCCCTTTCAGCCTGACATGTGCAACTTTTATATATTTTCAATTATAAACGAGTATTTTTATTCTGCTTTACATTTAGCAGGTCATTCAAGTATTTTCAAGTTGTTACCTTGTTTTCAAAGCTACAGAAGTGTCCATTTCTAAAAGCCACACAATCATCCATTAACTCCTTCTCATGTTAGACACTTAGATTCTTTCTTTTTTTTCTTTTGTGTAGTACATATAATTTTCTGGTAAACGACATAATCCTTTTTCTTAAAAACATTTTTTTTGGCTGGGCGGGGTGGCTCACGCCTGTAATCCTAGTACTCTGGGAGGCCGAGGTGGGTGGATTGCTCAAGGTCAGGAGTTAGAAACCAGCCTGAGCAAGAGCGAGAGCCCATCTCTACTAAAAATAGAAAGAAATTAATTGGTCAACTAAAAATATATAGAAAAAAATTAGCCGGGCATGGTAGCACATGCCTGTAGTCATAGCTACTTGGGAGGCTGAGGCAGGAGGATCGCTCAAGCCCAGGAGTTTGAGGTTGCTGTGAGCTAGGCTGATGCTATGGCACTCTAGCCCAGGCAACAGAGTGAGACTCTGTCTAAAAAAAAAAAAAAAAAAATTTTTTTTTTTTTAGGATAAATTCCCAGGAATTGCAGTACTGGGTTAAAGGCTGTGAATACTTTTTGGATTTAAAATGTATCCTCTATCTGGGAAAAGCAAAACGACAAACCTATTTTTATTTTGCATTAAATGTTTATCCCCATTTTGTGTCAGCAGTTCCACATGATATGTTCAGAACGATCTCTAGGCTGTCCAGGCTGCTGATAAAGGTGCTGAGGAGCAGTGATGTTGGTGTTGGGGTCCTGTCCCCTCTCCCTGCCTGTCCTCTAAGACAGCTGGGACCTGAAGTGCCTTGTTTGTTTTTGCAGGCAATGTTGTCAACATTCAGACGGGCCACTGGGTTGGAAAGCAGAGTGGCCTGGGTGCTGGGCTGGACTCCTTCTACGAATACCTCTTGAAATCTTACATTCTCTTTGGAGAAAAAGAAGACCTAGAAATGTTTAATGCTGCATATCAGAGTATTCAGAACTACTTAAGAAGAGGGTATGTCTCCTTAACATCTCTTCCGTATAAAGCAAATGCAATGCATTCTGAAATGTTTGATTTTTTTTTTTTTAATGTAAACTTTACAGGGTCTGTTCACCTGTTGTCACCTTACTGCCTCTCAAACCTTACTGGTTTGTCAGTCGTCCTGGGGGGGAGGTTGGGGAGGAACTGTGTTAGCATCTCTTTGCTGCACAGTGAAGTTCTCCACAACCTAGTGGCTTAGAACAACAAATATCCTCTCCCGCCGGTTCCGAGGGACAGGAATCCAGGAGCAGCCAAGCCAAGGCCCTGGGGTCTCTCGGGAGGTTGTCGTCAGCTCTTCGCCAGGGCAGCAGCCATGTCCAGGCCCAAATGGGGTTACTCAGGTGAGGGCTGGCGGGCTTCCGCTCCTCCCTGCTGTTGGCCGAAGCTCTTTGCCACCGGGGTTTCTTTGTGGGTAGCTTGTGGTAGCTGGCTGCCCGCAGAGTGAGCGATATGAGAGAGACAAAGATGGAAGCCAGGGTGCTTTCGTGACCGGGTCTGGGAATGCTGTGCCCACACCTCTGCCAGACTGTCGGTCACCCGGAATCCCTGACACAGCGTGGGAGGGGACCACACAAGGTTGTGACCACCAGGAGGTGGAGGTTATGGGGGCTGTCTTGGAGACCAGCTCCTATAGGGGTGACACATTCCTAGTGTTTAGCTGTGGCTTTAATTGCAGGTAGAGCTGTATGTAATGCAGGACAATTACAGAGCTATTTTGGTTCTTTTACTTTGCAAAGAACTGTTTTTTTTCTTATTTTCTGGCTATGTCTGCGGAAGCAAAGAATTGTTAGGATTGGTCTTTACACTTGATGAAAGAAAGGACAATTGCCACATTTTTTCCCCCCTCTTGAGTTTGTTTAAAACAAGATTGTTTGCCACTTCTCAGTTGTGCAGGAGAGAGAGAGCCCTAGGAAGCCCCAGTGGTTCTACCCTGGTGTCATGCTCGCCTGCCCGGGTCTGTCTGTGCATGCATTTATATGGTAAATGGTCAGTGCAAGTTACAGTCACTGAGCCTTCCGCTTGGTAGGATTTTCTTGTGCCCATTTTTACTTCAGCTGTTGTAGGACCCACCTGTGTGAGTGCTGAGGTTAAGTAAGAGGCCTTTGGCTGGAGTTGAATTATTTTTGCTTTTCTAAGTTCCAAACTAAACTGAGTAGTAATCCCTGAGTGTCTCGATCTGATACCTTCCTCCAGCCCTTTGCCATAAGACCTTAGTAGAGAAGAGACTTTTCGTATTGAAAGAACCAAGCTTCCCTGCTCAGGCCCAATCTAACTTAGGCCCATGCTCTAGACTGAATTCTGTTACATGGCAGGGTTCTTAAACCTGACTGTCAAAGAGCTTTCTGCAAAATACTGTGAAATCTTGATATATTACAGTGGTTGAGTTAAGAAGTCTTATCCTATGGTAAGTATTGTCTTCTGCTAGAGTCTAGTATAGACAGAGACAGTCTATCTCCAAGAGTTTGAGGAATGAGTTGGAAAAAGTTAATGTCGATTCCATTTAAATGGAACTGCCAGGGGCTGCTGGAGAAACAGAGGTCTGTTGGTGAGCTTTCTTTTCACCCTTGAATGTGCTGCTTGGGTTTGCAGGCGGGAGGCCTGCAATGAAGGAGAAGGAGACCCCCCACTCTATGTCAATGTGAACATGTTCAGTGGGCAGCTGATGAACACCTGGATTGACTCTCTGCAGGCCTTCTTCCCTGGACTGCAGGTATGTTGCAGTCAGATTTGCTGAGAATAAAACCATCGTTAGAAAGGGCCTCCCCTTCCCCCCTCCCTTTTTTTTTTTTTTTTTTTGATACCAGAGCATTCTATTAGCTCCTTTGGATTTTAGAGGTTAATAGCACAACATGTCTTGATCATTGTTTTTGTGAAATTAGTCCGCAGAATATTGAACAGAGACATACTATGTAAGTGCCAAACCATGCTCGAAATGTAACTGTGTGATGTTTGGATAACCATCTCTCAGTTGCTTATTTGTTCATTGGTACATTTAACCTCTCTTCATGTGCAGTCCCCATCAATTTGGCATTGGTTGCCAGATAGGGGGGGCATCTGTTTGTCTGAGTTGTCACTTTTGGATTGGTTTTATCTTCAGCCATGTTTGTAGGTCAGATAAGAACTGGGCAGCGGGCCGGCCACGGTGGCTCACGCCTGTAATCCTAGCACTCTGGGAGGCTGAGGCGGGAGGATCACTCGAGGTCAGGAGTTTGAAACCAGCCTGAGCAAGAGCGAGACCCCGTCTCTACTATAAATAGAAAGAAATTAATTGGCCAACTAATATATATATACACAAAAAATTAGCCGGGCATGGTGGCGCATGCCTGTAGTCCCAGCTACTTGGGAGGCTGAGGCATGAGGATCGCTTGAGCCCAGGAGTTGGAGGTTGCTGTGAACTAGGCTGACGCCACGGCACTCACTCTAGCCTGGGCAACAAAGTGAGACTCTGTCTCAAAAAAAAAAAAACAGAACTGGGCAGTGGAGAAGAGCTCAGGGCGTTTGTGTCATGTCTTGGCACTCTCGGAATAGTGTCTCAGCCCGATGACCTGGGTCCTCTTCTTAGGTGCTGATAGGAGATGTGGAAGATGCCATCTGCCTCCATGCCTTTTACTATGCCATCTGGAAGCGCTATGGTGCCCTCCCTGAGAGGTACAACTGGCAGCTACAGGCCCCTGATGTTCTCTTCTACCCGCTGAGACCAGAGTTAGTGGAATCCACCTATCTCCTCTACCAGGTACTAGAGGTTGCTGAATAGTAGCTTGTATGTAAACACTAGGAAGACCTGTAGCCATTGGTTCATAATAAGCATTAGCTGATTGATTTAGAATTATGTTGTTTCATAATGACTGATAGAGTCACCACCTATCTATAGTCTCATTTGTGCTCAGTGTCATTCATGGCTTCACAGGACAGAGAAGGCGTCTGCGGTCAAATGTTTTTTAACCTCATATTTTGCAAAGCTGAATCATGTTTTTACCATAGGACTTATATCTCACATCTTTAAATATTCAACAGGAAGATTTTGTGTTCAGGTGTGTTCTAAATTTATTTGATTAAAAAGCCCTTTTTTAGTGGGTGGGCATAGTGGCTCAGGCCTATAATCCTAGAACTTTGGTAGGCTGAGTTGGGAGGATTGCTTGAGCTCAAGAGTTCAAGACCAGCCTGAGCAAGAATGAGACCACATCTTTACTAAAAGTAGAAAGATTAGCCAGGCATGGTGGTACATGCCTGTAGTCCTAGCTTTTCGGGAGGCTGAGGCAAGAGGATCGCTTGAGCTTAGGAGTTTGAGTTTGCTGTGAGTTATGATGATGCCACTGCACTCACTCTAGCCTGGGCAACAGAGTGAAACTCTGTCTAGAAAAAAAAAACACCTTTTTGGGATACAATTTTGTACTAATATGCTATGGAGCCCTAGTCTGTGTAATAATTATTCAGACAAAAAGAAAATGTTTTTTTCTTGGTGATAAAGGAAATAATCTTGGATTCATCTGAATGCCTATTTTTGTTTAGTGTTACTAAAAAAAAAAAAGAAGGGGAGAAAAAGAAAACAACATACAGTGTTCATCTTTTGTGAAATTACTTAGTGCCAGAGGGAATGTCACTTTAACTGTGAAATGTCTTTTCCCTGATTGTCGAAGCCAGATATTTATACTTCATATGTATAAGCCATACATATATATACACACGGAAAGTCCTTATCCATTCACAAATACAGCAGCATAAGCTGTTAGCTTTCTAAGAAGTCGGCCTTCAGTGTAATTCAGTAGGCCTACGACAGACTCCCACAGCGGGTAAGCCCTGGCAAGGGAAACCTGATTTTTACGTGCTCCGCTAGTAGGACTAGTACTATGGTTTGGGTTTATTCAATAGTTTTTTAATGCTGAATCTTTGCCATTTGCTTTTAGATGAAGAAAGGGAAAAATCCTATGGAACTAGGAATAGTCCTTATGCCTAAAGAGAGACCTCATGAGTTTTAGGTAATCTCTCCAAAAAGGGAAAAGATGATATTTGGCCTCTCTGGGCCCCGTGTAGAGCAGGGCTGTACACTCTGAGGACAGTCGTCCGATGCTGTCTGATGGCTCCTCTTAAGCTTAGTCCCGTTGCCCGTGAGTTTATACTTCTTTGTTTCTGTCGCTGCCTCTTTGCTATTTTCAGCCTCTTCTTCACGTTGACTATTTTCTTAGGATCCAGAGAAATCTTGCACTTCACAGCTTTGCCCCTTGAAGCCACACCCCTCCTCTTTTAATCCAGAGATGGGCAGCCTTGTCGTTGTTTGCTTTTGCTGCTGCAGGTTGTCACTAGGCATGAATTAAAGATGATCCCCGACTTTTAAACTGTTTCTTGGGCAAAAGGCTTGTCGTCTTCTCAGACAATTTTTTTCCCTAACAAAATCATCTGAGAGCACGTGCCAAGAAGAGTAAGCAACCCCAAGACTGATTTCTTAGGGTGATTAGAGAGGAAAGTGTGGAGGCCTCTTTTAGATAGTTTTCAAAGTCTGTTCTCATTAGCCTTTCCTCACAGGGCTGTGATTAGAATTGGGGACAAGGTCCTGTTTCCTGTGCCTGCATTGTGAGTTTCTGGAGAGTTCTGAGGCAAGACAGAAACTGGATTTGTTCTCAGATATGGTACTGTCAGGGTGGGTATTGTTTTATTTCTAACCACGGTGAGGCGCAGGAGAACCAAAGAGAGTATTTATTGTCTTACCCTGGAGCGCATTGTCCTACCCTGGCTAAAGTAGACAAGTCATCGGCATGCTTTGATGTGAATGACACGTACCTTAGTCCTCTAACCTTTGTGACTACAAGATAAGGTGAATCGGCCTGTGTCTTCCTTTGGCCGGTGGCTCCTGTCCTCGGGGGATCCCTGCGGTCACCGGTCACCGTGGCGGTTGTCCGAGGCATGTCTCCCACGCCCTGCTGGATCACGTTCTCTCATGTTCTCTCTAGGCGACCAAGAATCCCTTCTACCTCCATGTAGGAATGGATATTCTGCAGAGTCTGGAAAAGTACACAAAAGTCAAGTCAGTTTCCTAAGTTCCTTTCTTTTTCTGTCGGCCACCTTTGATTTACTTTGAATTGTGCTGGGGAAATCCTGTCCTAGTTTGCATTTGGATGTATACAACAGCTCATTAATGTTAATTTCCTAGGGAAATTGTCTACCTTTTGGTGTAGTAGAACCTTTCCATTATAGTGGGGATTGCTTTTTTTGCCCTTCCCGCCTTTTTTTTTTGTGAGGTTCCAGCAGATTATGTGTGTTCCTTTTAAGTAACTTATTTCCCCTAGTTATACAAACAGTGCATTCATTAAACTGTTTGGGGAGTACAGAAAATATAAAGAGGTAGAATATTTTCACCGTAATCTCCACATACAGAGATAACCATAGTCAGCACTGAAGTATATATCCTTACCATCTTTTTTATATATTTGCATATATGATGTGTATATATATGTATATATAAAAAACATACTCTATATTTCAATTTTGTGATCTGCTTTTTTTTTTTTACCCACTATGAGTTTTTACCCACTATTTTCTTACAAAATACTATTTTAGAATACCCAAACAGCAAGTCAGTTGTACAAGTATCGGTACTAAAAATTTAAATTAGTCCTTCTAAATATGCTGCCAGTCACTCCCTGGGAGCCATGTTAAGCCTTTGGCCAACGTCTTCCACTGCCCCCCTCTCCAGACTGCAGCTGACCTGGTGATTTAGCAGCCAAAGCGCTTTTGAAATAACTTCATAGATAACTCAGGAGAGCCCTTTAGTGTAAACGTCATTTTTTTTTTTCATGCGGTGTTAGAGGGTTTGGTTGATTATCCTGTTAAGAGAATACTCCCGTTTTTTGAATGAACCAGCAGGTGGGAGGAGGAGAGGCGGGACTGACGGGGTGACTGTCTCGTAGATGTGGGTACGCCACGCTGCACCACGTCATCGACAAGTCCACGGAGGACCGGATGGAGAGCTTCTTCCTCAGCGAGACGTGCAAATACTTGTATCTGGTAAGTGTGTGGCAGGAGCGATGGGGGATGTTTAGTTTGAGCAGGCTGTCTCCTGGCAGATTTTACTGGGCACGGCGACACTGTGCATTCCCAGTGACACAGCGCTGCCAGAACAAAAGGGTGTTGCCACCATCCTTCATGGTTTCCAACGCATGGAGGAGTCATTTCTCAAGTAGACAAAGAAACGGACGGCAGTCACAGATGGTGTGAAGTGCCGGTGCTGTCGCTAGAGGACCAGCGTTAGTGCAGTGTCGGGAGGGCTTGTCTGAGGGAGAGAGCGGGGTTGATGGCCCTTCCCTTCTCATGACCTTCGAGACCCCCAGCCCAGCCACCTCTTCCCGTACACATGTCCTCAGACGTACATTTGTGTCGGGAGGCGGGAGAGAAGGGAGGAGCCTCAGGGATCACCCAGGCAGCGTGCATTCTTCCCCTCGCGGGAACTGCAGCCTGTGTAGGGAGGCCGGGTGACTTGCCTGGGGTCTTGGGGTGACTGCGGCAGAGCTGAGGCCTGAATCCCGGTCTTGACTCTCTGTCCAGCGCTCTTCCCACCTTGTTGGTGGGCACATGTGTGTAGGTGCCTGTGCACTTGTGCCCGCTCTCTTGCCTTCTTTCTGCTTGCTTTTTTTTTTTTTTTTTGAGACAGAGTCTCACTGTGTTGCCCTGGCTAGAGTGCTGTGGCGTCAGCCTAGCTCACAGCAACCTCCAACTCCTGGGCTCAAGCGATCCTCCTGCCTCAGCCTCCCGAGTAGCTGGGACTACAGGCATGCACCACCACACCCGACTAATTTTTTCTGTATATTTTTAGTTGGCCAATTAATTTCTTTATATAGTAAGAATGGGTCTCGCTCTTGCTCAGGCTGGTTCAAACCTCCTGATCTTGAGTGATCGTCCTGTCAGCCTACCAGAGTGCTAGGATTGCAGGCGTGAGCCACCACGCCCGGCCTTCTACTTGCTTTTTGTGTGTGCTTCCTGAAAGAGCAGGCTTCCAAAGGCGGGGGCTGGGTTTCTGGTTAGGAAACAGTGTGGACTGAGAACCAGAACCGGGCCGAGGTTCAGGACAGCAGCTGTGGTAAGTTGCGTCGCTCAGTTCTGTGGTTCCCCGGCCTGGGCTGGACGGGTCAGAGGCCACCCTGGGGCCTTGAGTTCGAGTCTTTAGAGTAAGTGGTCTCAGGAATCTGTAATTTGACAAGTAGCTCCCTGATTCCATACAAGCCCAGGTTTTGGAGCTATGGGTCTAGTCCTTTGAGACGACTCCTTTGTGTCTGAAGCCTCTTTTACAAAAGAGGGTTCCACCCGCAGCCCATGAGGTCCTGCCAGTGGGGGGCAGCTGTCCCGCGGCAGATCCCCGGGTGCGCCGTGTCTCACTCGCTCAGGCTGGCTGAAGAGGCCCGTCAGAGGCCTGGCCAAGTGTCCGCCCAGCAGCCACCGGTGTCAGAAGGACAGTGACAGGGCAAGTTCTGGAGTGAAGGAAGGAACACCGCAGGGTGTTGCGGGCGAAGAACGCAGAGCGGGGTGAAAACCCGGGCCCACCCCGTTCCCTCCTGCTACTGTGTAATTCTGACAAGCTGCACAGAGTCTCCGTGTCCCTCGTCTGCGAAGTAAGT